GTTTTTTTTAAAAAAGTCTGTCAATTATTAATTGAATTTAAACATTTTAACTTTAACAGTTTATTGGCAGTTGTTCATTGTTAAACCAGTATCCAATGTCAATTCCTTCTTTGTATCACTTTATTTTATAAAAGTGTAAGAAATGTCATTCATTAACAAATCCATCAATTACCATAAGTTCAAGCAAAACAACTCTGATGTTTTATCATGTACAGACTACATATATTCAAAATAATAAGCAGTAAAAAGTGGTGTTTTATTGAAAGATGTAAATCTTATCAAAGCCTAATAACTCTGGATTGTTAATATTAGAAAGCACTAAAATATGGTTGATCAAGTTTTCTAATATATAGAATAATGTTTCACAGGATTAATAAACAGGATTCAATTTTTTCATTGAAACGTTAATGCAAGAAAACCAAAAAACAAACAAACAAACCCACAACTGGTTTAAACCTAAAACTGTTTAAACAAAACCTTGCCTCATTTAGTCTCTAGTTTATGAGGGAACAAAGTGACCACTGCAACCAATCATATCAGTGGCTTACTGGTCAGAGGGGTGCTGAATGAACTCTCAGTTTTATTACATGAAATGAGCTAACCCAAGCGCTGAATATACTTTGGAAATAGAGTTCAGCACCTTGGAGAACTCTTGTTAAAATTTACAGGTGATTCATAGAAGGAAACAGGTGCAGAAGAGTTTCAAGAGACCACAAGGCCATCCAGTCCAAACCCATTCTGCCATGTAGGAATACACAATCAAAGCAATCCCGACAGATGGACATCCAGCCTGTTTAAAAATCCACAAAGAAGACTTCACCACACTCTGAAGCAGCATGTCCCAGTGTTGAAAGCTCTTACTGTCAAGAAATTCCTAGTTTTGGTGGAATCTCTTTTCTTGTAGTTTGCATCCTTCACCCCGTGTCCTAGTCTCTGGAGCAGCAGAAAACAAGCTTGCTCCTATGTCCCTATGACATCCTTTCAGATATTTAAACATTATTATTATTTTATTATATTTATTTGTATTCTGCTTCCACCCCCCCCCCAAAAAAATGAGACTCAAAGCCACTTACAGTTTAAAAGCACAATACAATTTTAAAACTTACAAAAATGACACTTAAGATAGAATTAAACTAGAATTAAACATGGCTACCATGTCACCCCTTAACCTTCTCTCCTCCTGGCTAAACATACCCCTCTCCCTGGGTTGCGTCTCATAGGGCATTATGGTTTCCAGACACTTCACCATTTTGGTTGCCCTCCTCTGGACATACTCCAACTTGTCCACAGTCTTTTTGAATTGTGCAGACCAGAAATGGACGTAGTATTCCAAGTGAGGGCTGACCAAAGCAGAATAGAATGGTACTATTACTTCCCTCAGTCTAGACCAGGGGTAGGCAACCTTTCCCCATTAAGGGCTGAGGGACTTCAGCTCCCAGAATCCCAGGAGCTATTGGCCAACATGGGACTATTGGCCAACATGGCTGAGGCTTCTGGGAGCTGAAGTCCCTCGGCCCTTAAAGGGGAAAGGTTGCCTACCCCTGGTCTAGACATTAGGGACATCCTACTGATGCAGCTCAGAATTGCACTGGCTTTGACAGCTGCTGCATCACACTGTTGACTCATACCCTGTGGTCCACTTAGACTCCTAGATCCCTTTTGCATGTACTGCCATCAAGTGAGGTCTCCCCAATCCTCTATCTGTGCATTTCATTTTTATTGCCCAACTGTGGTATCCTACATTTCTCCCTGTTGAAATTCATTTTGTTAGTTTTGGCCTAGCTTTCTAATCTGTTAAGGCCATTTTGAATCCCGATCCTGTTCTCTGGACTATTAGCTACCCCTCCTAATTTAGTGTAATCTGCAAATTTGATAAGCATGCCCTCTATTCCATCATCCAAGTCATTGATGAAGATGTTACATTCAGCACACTAATGGCATTGATTGATGTCACCATAACTACTGGATGCAATGTAATGGAACATGAAAAAAATGGCTATTGACAACAAGGGGAGGATCAAAGTAGATAGCTCTAGAGCAGGGGTAGGCAACCTTTCCCCTTTAAGGGCCGAGGGACTTCAGCTCCCAGAATCCCAGGAGCTATTGGCCAACATGGCTGAGGCTTCTGGGAGCTGAAGTCTCTCGGCCCTTAAAGAGGAAAGGTTGCCTACCCCTGCTCTAGAGAAAGAGGTACCGTACCCAGTTTGCATGAGACTACCCACCATTACATCAGCCCTGGGCCCATGTATGAGATTGGCTGAAAATCCAAACTAATGCAACCATTCAGGTTGTATCAGCAATTCACTGATAAAACTGTGCACTCCTTCATCCAGACCTTGGATAAGTTCCCTTTTTTGGATTGTAACTCCAAGAATCCCTCTTCCCACATCAGCCATTCTGACTCAGGTATTCTAGAAGTAGCAGGTCCCAAAGGTAACTTGTCCAAGCTCTGTCTCTGGCCAATGCCCAGGTTAGTCACAGAATATGTGTTACAGATAAGCAATTTTGGAGAATGACACAGTCTCCTAAACTTTTATTCTGGTATTTTAAAGATTCTCCTATGAAGGCAACCAGCTTAAAATAAATGGAGGAGGAGAGGCACATTGGAATGGTGGGTGGGCTGTTCGGGAGGGGGGGGGATAATCCTTCCCAAAAGGCAAAGTCATTTGGAGATAAAGTAGGTTTTTCTAAGTATATAAATGTCTCAGGTCTTTAGATCTAGGATTATTTACAAGATGCATATTCCATTAAGAAAACGACTGTCTTTCCAAGTGGCATGAAATTCCCATTTGTTGAACAAAATATTAGATATTAAAAGTGTGACATTTTTATGAGTTAGAAACCTGATGCAGAAATCAATCCCATCTACCTTAAGCTCTGGTTATGTTAAATTCCTCACTGTAGGAGTTTAAAAGAAATCCCTTCATATTTGATGAGACAAAGGGGGAAAAACAAAACCACACCCCATGAACTAATTTTGCTTTCTCTCTTTTAAGTAGTACCTGTTGGAAGCAATAAGGGAGAAAACACTACATGGTACTAGAATGGTGTAGCAGAATGGTGGGGTCCTTTCACACAACACAGTTGTAGCGCCATTATTCCACTTTAACTGTCATGTTTCCATCCTGGGATTGACAGTTTAGAGAGGGACATTGAGAATTCTCAATGAAATCTGGACTAAATTCCAAAGCAAATTCACTATTCCCAGCCCCAATGAAGCCACCAGATGCCACTATCTGGCAATAAGCAGGCACAATAAAGTAATAATACCTGCATAAGGGAAGTTGGAACTGGTGGCAAGGTTAACACTCCCATCCTTCTCACTGTGGGTGAGGCAGGGAAGCTAATTCCAGAAGGTAAAGGAATATTTCTGAGCAGGTGCTCAGCTTGTGCAAAGCACTGCCCAGGGCTCCCAAATCTCCACACAGCTCTCTGTGAAGGGAGAGCATGGCTCTGATAGTCTCCTGGGAATCTTGTCCGGTAGTGAAGATCATGACTGAAGGGCAACACATCTTTGTGGAAAGCTTGTCAGCCATTATTGATCTCATTCTAGAACACTTGATGATCAACTGACTTTATCCCCAGAAAACACTGAGCCAAGCATCGTTTTTAGGTCTTTTCTGATGCTATAAGATTAACTGATTTGGCTTGGCTACTGTTGGGGAGTGGAAACCGTTAGCTTCATAGATCCTGGCTGTATCTACACTGCAGAATTAATGCAGTTTGACACTACTTTAACTGCCATGGTTCAATACTATAGAATTCTGGGATATATAGTTTTCAGAGATATTTCATCTTCTTTGTCTCTGGTGCCACAACAAACTGCAAATCCTAGGATTCCATAGGATGAAGCCATGGCAGATAAAGCAGTGTGAAACTGGATTTATTCCGCAATGTGGCAGCAGCCTCCATCTCCTCCCTCTATCTTTTGATTGTTTAATACAAACCTGCTTTCATTTTTGCATTTCATATTTTATTTACATTTCATATGTTACCTTTCTTCATATTTTTACATTTTCTCCAGATGCATAAATAGAAGAGGGGAAGGGAAAGAAAGGAGAAAGAAAATTCTACATCTACAAGTTACAATGGGAGTATGGCATACAGAAAAAAAGACAAATTCTTAAAGCTCGACAACCTGTTGAAGTCATTCATAACTCTTCTCATAGTCTTGCATTTCTTACCCTTAATGTGAAACAAATGCAATAAACCTCCCATTTCCTTTCGCACAGAGAAATGGTGTGTCAACACCTTGCTTTTATTGCCAATGGCCCTTTAAAAAAATGAGAAACCTAGTGAAGAACTAGATTAGATTACTCCATCCTGAACTAATGCAGGAGAGACTGAAGCTGATGAAGTTTCTAAAGTGGCATTCTGGCAAATGCGCTCTCATCTCAGGAGTCTGCCATCTAAGGATATCAACCTGAAAGTCATGTCTGATTCTAACAGAATCAGAGGGATTGTTAACTGTAAGAGTGTAGTTACCAGATCCTCTGCCATTGCTCCCATACCTCACAGAGGAGTGTCTTTATAACTCATCCAAGCAGATTATGATGGGTTGTGCAGCTGAATACCATGCTGGTGATATACCTTGGAGTAGAAGTATTGCGCCAAGCCTATTAAAGATATAAATTCCACATAGGCAAATGAAGACCAGCCTATGCTATGACCCTCCAAAAGCTTGATCCCCACTCTTCCCAGGTTGGCGTATGAAGGAGAATGCAAATTTTGCTTCATGTCTCAAGTTTGGGTCCTGAAATCCAGGGACTGGGGCAGTCCTGCCTTGGCAAATTTCATTATACTGCTGCATTTGTTACTCATTCTTCTTTGACATACGCCCAGTTGTTTTACATATAGAAAATATGCACCCGGACAAATATTGCTGTTGTTGTTTGCCTTCAAGTTGTTTCCAACTTACGGTGATGCTACAATGAACCTAGCACTGGGTTTTCTGAGGATGAAAGTGTATGATTTGTCTAAGGCCACCCATTGGGTTTCCATGGCCAAGCAGGGAATCAAACCCTGATCTCCAGAGTCATAGTCCATCACTCAAACAACTAAACCATATAGGCCAGGGGTAGGCAACCTTTCCCCTTTAAGGGCCGAGGGACTTCAGCTCCCAGAATCCCAGGAGCTATTGGCCAACATGGGACTATTGGCCAACATGGCTGAGGCGTCTGGGAGCTGAAGTCCCTCGGCCCTTAAAGGGGAAAGGTTGCCTACCCCTGATATAGGCTCTCAATTATCATTGGAGGGGGCAATCAGGCGAAGTTGCTTAGGATACCAGATCTATACTGCCAATGTCTCTCTCTCTGTTGCCTATTTTTACTGTGCATTCAAGTCGCCTGATGACTTATGGTGACCCCATGAATTTAACTGGATTTTCTTACACAAGGAATCCTCAGAGGTGGTTTTGCCAGTTCCTTCATCTGAAATATAGCCTACAGCACCTGGTATTCTTCAACAGTCTCTCATCCAAGTACTAACCAGAGCTGACCCTGCTTAGCCTCTAGGATCAGACAGGATCAGGTGCCTTTAGAGTTTTTAGGCCCATTTCCACTAGCACAATAAGTGCAATGATTGTGAAGAACTTGGACAGTCTCTTTCTATCTCTAACAATAAGAAACAAGTGAGGGTCTCACAACAAGCAAAACATCAACTGGGAACCAGAAGGGGGGTAAAAAAAAAGAGGCAAACAACAAAAATAAAGAGACCTTGTAGCACCTTTGAAACTAACTGAAAGAAAGAAGTTGGCAGCATGAGCTTTCATAGACTAAAGCCTACTTCATCAGATGCATTTGGACCAATTTGGTCTATGAAAGCTCATGCTGCCAACTTCTTTCTTTCAGTTAGTTTCAAAGGTGCTACAAGATCTACACAGACTAACACAGCTATATCTTTGAACAAAACGAAAGACAGCTAAAGGATGACAACAACCCCAACTTCGCATCCCCTGTGGAAGTGTCACCTAAAAATGAACCATCACAGAAGGTCATTTTCATTTTAAATTTTTAGAATCAGAAACATTATATAATTCTGGAATATATTTTAATGGGATTTCTGTTCCATTGCTGGATGAAATCTAGTAAAGAGAAAGCAGAGAGCGCCTTGATCTTCATTGAAGCAGCACAAGATAATCAGATTGCGCTGTCTCGTGTTTCCTAGTCCTGATATTTTTATCTGATTTCATTGGTTTTTCTCTTCAAAACAGCCACCGCTGAATCTTAAATGACACTTACATGGGATATAAATAGAAATCTCCTTTCAATTCCTTTTTCTGTTTAAAGATGGTACCTTTGAGGAGTTTTTTCCTAAGGGTGTCCCTTTTACTTCTGACCATAAACATAGGCACACTTAGGGACTGTGCATCACTTTGTCCTTTAAACGCTGGGCATGAGAAGGATGGGGAGGAGATGACTCTCAGGAAGGAATTAAGAGGCAGCTTTGAAAACCCTCACCCAGAGCTACCAACCACACCATGAAACAAACAGCTGCAATAAAAGCTATCAAATGGCTGAGAACGGAAACCTGGTGGTTTTTTTTTTTTTTGAAACTTAGGAGTGGTTAAAAGCAACCCACAGCCAAGGCAGCTGACAAAGGGTGGGGAGCTGGGAACGCGAAGGGAACATCTGGTCACTGGCAGTAGGGCAGGAGACCAGATTTTGGCTTCTTGCCTTAATAGCAAGCAAACCACATTGTTTCATAAGTTGTCATTTAGGTATTTATGTATTCATCTCTGTTTTCTCCAAACCCTACAGTACCCCCCTCCCCTGCACCCACACCTATCTCAACTGACTTGTAAGTAAACTCATTCACTGAGGAATGAAAAGTCAGAAATTCAAAATGACCTTCAAAGGGCTCCCCCCCCCAATTTTGGATAACCTGCCCTTGTGTCTCTGAGTTGTCATATGATTCCTTGAACACAAAAAACACCATCCAAAACCATGCAGGGGAATTTTTCTCAGGCTTTCTCTGCTCTTCACATTAAGGGAACAGCAATAAGGACAACACTATTTGCTTATCGCTGACAAACTTTGCACAAAGTCAAGCCGGAAGAGTGACTATCATCACACCTGTCCTTACTCTTAAATTGAGCTCTGTAATAAAGTTTGCCTATAGTACAACCCTTTTTTTAAAATCAATTTTAAAAGAAAGCATCACCACTGAAATTTGCCCGATATCACATAAAGACAAATATGACTATTTCATTTGATATGATTTAAAAAAAAACACACCACACCTGTAGGAATGGGGGGGGGGAGGTATTTTGGCTAAAATTTGCTTAATTTTGCTATTTGCTAAACTTTGCTTCGTTTCCCTGAGGATGTGTTTCAAATTCCAGGTAAGCCCATAGCACTTAGGTCACTTCTGCGTTCCAGGAAGAATATCTCATAAACATCTCTCCTTATACAGAAATCAATATGGTGCCTTTTCATGACACTTCAAATCAGATTCCTGAGATGGCAGTTCCCATCAATCTAACAATAGGGCTGGCCCTGGTACAGTGCTTGCTTTCTGACCATATGGAAGGCCTCAGAACTTAGGAAATGCTACTCCTTAGGAAGATAATTCCTAGAATCACCCACCCACCCAACATTGTATGAAAGGTCACAATTTGCTCAGTCCTAATTTAATGGTATGTGTGTGTGCAGACAAGCACACACCTTCAAGTTGCCTTTTGACTTATGGCGACCCCATGAATTTCATGAACTCTTGAAATTCATGGGGTCGCCATAATTCCTTAGGCAAGGAATACTCAGAGATGATTTTGCCATTCTTTCCTCAGAGACTTAGCCTAAAGCGCCTGGTATTCATTGACTGCCTACCATCCAAGTACTAACCAGGGCTGACCCTGCTTAGCTTCCAAGATCAGATGAGATCTAGTGCCTTTAGGACAGGGGTCAGCAACTTTTTTTTGCCGCGGGCCGGGAGAGGGAAATGGCGCTGGGGGCCGGCACACGCGCCCATGCGCACGATGCCCTCCATCGTGTGCATGCATGCATGCGACGCAGGACACCATTTTGGAAGGCCCAAAGGCACCGGCACTGTATGAATGAGCATGATGCCAGCACCATTGGACATTCCAAAATGCCACCCGCCACTGTGCGCATGCATGTGCGATCACCATTTTGGACACCAAAATGGCGCTCGTGCTCACGTGTGGTGGCGTGTGCGCGGCAGTGGCAGCAGGACCGGCCATGGGCCAGTCCCAAGGCCTCGGTGGGCTGGACCCGGCCCGCGGGCCGTAGGTTGCCAATCCCTGCTTTAGGATATTTAGGCTCTAGTAATTATATGGTAGCTTTCTACCATATATGAAGTACAACATTCTTGGGAAGGAGTGGGATTGATCTAGTACTCCATCAAAGTAATTAGATCTGAAAGTTGGAGCTCTTCCCTTGTAACAGTCCTTCATCCTTTCTAGGAGATGGTGGTTTGGCTTCTCCTTTGAAGTGGAACAAGTATGGAAGGTCTAGGATCAGGTTTTGGCCTCTGAAACCCTCTGAAGGTTATTCCCAGTTAGAGGGAAAATATACAGCAAAACCAGATATGGCTGTTGTCCACTTAGAAGAAATATAGATTAAAATACATATCAAAAACATCAAAACATATTTAAGTTAAAACTTTTCTTTTGCATTTTGGTGGATTTGGAGGGTGAACTCAAGCCACCAACATGAAAAATTGCAAAAATGAGGCTCCTGGAAGCAAAACAGCATTGTGGATGCTTATGTACATGCCTTTGCATTGCCTGTTGACTTATGCTGACCCCAGGGATTTCATAGAGTTTTCTTAGGCAAGGAATATTCAGAGGTGATTTTACCAGTTCCTTCCTCTGAAATCTAGACTTCAGCAACTGGTACGCCTTGGTGGTCTCTCATCCATATACTAACTAGGGCTTACCCTAGTTAACTTCTAATATCAGACAAGATCTTGAGGTATTAGAGGGCAGATCTTTAGGGGTGGCTGGTTTACAGGCTGGAAAAAAATGCCATGGCACATTGTCTACTGCTGTGATCTGTTTTCCAGTGAGATTGCAAATCTGTGCTTGGGCTGCATAATTTAAGGATGCATCAGAACTTGGGAAGTTACATTTTTGGCCTTAGTTAGGCTCCTTCCATTCCCAGGAGAAAGTTAAACTTTTTTGTCCTGTGGATGACTGTGGCATGCAGGCATAGCTTGATTCTATGCAAAAGGCATGATTTGCATTTCATTTCCTTAAACACACCAGATGTTGAGCCACTGTTAGGAGACTTGCTGTTCTAAGTATGTAGTATTGTTTTCCCTATGGTAGCTTTACAGTTGCAAACTTTTGGAAATGCCCCAATTTTAAAGTGAGATTTAAAAGAAAAGAAAAAAAAAGAAAACCTGTACAATGAAGCTGGATTGGTTTTTATTTTCTACTTTTACTTTTTTTTTACTTTTGTTTCACTTCCTCCAATTTTGCTCATTATTTAATGTATGTGCTATCTTTTTTTCCCAAAAACTTTCTCTGTACTTATGGGGAAAAGCATCAATCTATTCACCTGCAAAAACACCATGAGTTTTGACAGTACTCTACAGTCCAACCTCTGTTTCTATGGGATTGGTAACCACAGTTTCACTTATCCACATCCAGAAAAAAAGATGCTTAAAGACTTCTCCTCTCTAGGTATCTGTAGGTCCTCCAGCATGACTCTGTGGTCAACTTCCAGCAGAAATATAATGCTCACTATTACCACAGTTCTCCTTTGGATACAGGGGATGGACTGCATACATTTGCCACTGGAGTCCAGAGGATCTGTTTAACCATAACTTCAAATAAAAGAAATCACTGGTTCTGAAACAACTCCAGTTTAATATTAAAGTTAAACTCCAGTTTAACATTCCTGGTATTGCTTTCTAAAAAAACAACAACACATAGGTATAAACAGGATTTCCAATTCAGGATCATCCCAGGCCTTGAGGTTTGTTTCCAGGTCAAAACCTGAGACCTAGGAAAAACCACTGGTGATATATCATTAAACGTTATGCATTAAGTACCAGCCATAGTTGCTCCGATCTTGTCACTGGAACAGACACAGACACAGACACAATA